TGGATCAAAGTGCCATTTCCCCTGAGATACTGAAAAATAATTCTAAAATAACTCAGGAGCATTCCTGAAGGGGGAAGTTTCATGCTAAGCTGTTTTTCTAACATTTTAAATGAAAATCCTCCGTACCCTGAAGCTCTGGCTTTTCAATTATAATTGCTAAGACGAGCCACCTTTTCCCTCACGTGGTCCTTTTCCCCCCTTTACCCAGCCCACCAATGCATGGCTGGTTCCTTATTACCTAAGCCCTATGTGTGCAGGAAGCCTTCCCAGCCAAAACAGCACTATCTTTATTCTCCAGACCAACTAATTTCTCCTGCACTCTGCAGGTTTCTATTGTGATTTTTGTGTGAAGTATCCTCTTTGACACTCTAAGCTTCCTTAAAAATACACACTGTATATAATATTGTTCATATTGAATTTAGCATGTTTCACACAAAGTGGATATTTAGTGAACATTTCTAATAGTCACTAATATGTCTGAAAATACTATAATTATAGCATTGAATGCCACACAATTTTACAGTCTAGAAAAACACATGAGGAAAAGGAAACAAAAGTTTGATAGAACATCCTTCTCTTTGTAATGGTGCAGACTTTTACAAAGAGAAAACGTGAATGGGAGTTGAGACAGGAAGAGGATTTTCAATATCCTTTGGCCCCTAAGTGTATAGCTGGATGTGAGAGATTATCACAATGGAAAACAATTTGTGAAATACAGTGAAAAATAAATGATACTCAAGAATGACTACCCAATCATAATTTTTCTGGAAAGACCTCTTAACTCTTTCCCTGAGAGCCATTCCGTTGGTGTATGCCTATAGATGATGGTGGCTGCAGCTAGGTCACAACGTGGCACTGCTGGCCCAAATCATGGCATTTACAGTGAATTTTCCTACTGAATCAATGCCAAAACTGTCATCACAAAAGTTTGTCTTTGTTATCACTTTAGGGCAATAGCCAGTTTCTAACCTGTCTTTCCATTTTAAAGATTCTTTCTGTTATTCATACACTGTTTCTTCAACCCTTGCTACACCTTTAAGTAAACATGTCCTACCCATTTTACTTAATCAGCATTACTGCTTGGCTTTAGTTCTCTCATGCACTTTCAGATCCTAGCAACAGTTGGTCCCCTGAAATACTGACAAAGCCTGAAACTATTGAAAACAGGCTCTCCTGCCACCTCTATTTGTTGCAGAAACATTTTATGTTAAGTGAATAAAATGCCAAAAATTCAAGAATATCTGCTTCAAATTATTTGCATGCACATTTTTTCAATAAGATAAGCTCTTCATTTATTTTTTAGCAGGAAGAAAATTAGAAATTTACAATGCCATGAAGTTAAATAACATGCTACTAGATATGACAGTCTCCATCACACAGTGGTTGTTTATCCCCTTAAATGAAAGTCACAAAAAAGAAAAAAAAACCAACAGGAAGAAAAAAAGAAATTAAAAACACCACAAAGTTAAATAACATGCTACTAAATGACTAATATGTCACTGAAGAAACGAAAAAGAAAATCAATAATGTTCTTGAAGAAAATGATGCTACTGCATGATCTATGAGCCACTGAAGAATTTAATAAGGAAGTGTTTTGAAGACAAGAAACTAAAAAAAAAAAATAAAAATCCATGAGATTCAGTTTCCACTCATCTTTGTTGGAGAGATATGTATCCTGTAACCAACAAATAGATAAGTTCTGTTTTTTAAATCTAGTCTACTAATCTGTCATTTGATTAATAAGTTTAAGCCATTTACATTCAGGATTAATAAAATAGGTGGTAATTTGGTTCTGTCATTTTAGGAATGGGTTGTTCATTGGTTTAGTCTTCTGCTGTCATTTTACTGGGATGTTCTTCACATTTGCCTTTGGTTTTGGTGGGTGCTTTCCTTTTCTCTGTCAAGAGAACATCTTGAAGTATCATTTGTAGGGCAGGTTTGGAAGAGGCTTATTCTTTTAACTTTTCTTTACTGTGGAAGAATTTTATTTCATTTTCAAAGACAAATGAAAACTTTTCTGGGTACGTTATCCTGGGTCAACAATTTTTTGCTTTTTGCACCTGGAATGTGTAGCTCCATTCTCTTCTGGCCTGTAGAGGTTCCTGTGAGAGGTCTCCTGTGAGTTTAATTGGCATTCCTTTATATGTCAACTGTTTTTTTTTTTTTCATGTGCACATTTAAGGGTCTTTTCCTTATGCTGAATTGAAGAGAGCTTGATTATCATCAGTCATGGTGAATATCATTTTTGATCAACCCGGTTGGGAGTTCTGTGCCTCTCCTGGATGTCCTTTCCTAATTCTTTCCCTAGATTAGGGAGATTTCCCTTTATTATTTCATTAAATACAGTTGTAAACCCAGCTTCAGCTTCTCTTTCTGCACCTTCCAGTACTTCCATTACTCTTATATTTGGCCTTTTAATAGTGTCTTTCAATCCTTGAATACTGGTTTTTTTTGGGCCTGATCCAGCTCTACTTCCAGCTTTTTCTTTGTTTGCCCCTGGTGATAGGAAATATCTTCTAATTTGGGGATTTTTTTTTTCTTCTGCCTCCTTCATTCTATTTTGGAGACTCTACTCTGTACTTTTAGTATGCTCCACTGTATTCTTCATTTCTGTTATATCAGCTTTCATTTGATTCATTTCCAATGTGTCATATTCCTTTATATTCCTTGAATTTCTTGAATGCTTGCTTTACATGTTTCTTGTTGTTGATTGCAAGTTTTATAACAAGTGTTTTGAATTCTGTATCACTGATTTTCTCCAAGTCTTCCTCAGTTAACTCTGATGTTGGCTAAGGGTTTTGCTTCTTTGCAGAGGAGTCTTCAATAATATTCATTGTGCCTCTGTCTCTTCCTTTGCTCTTGGGCATTGTGCTTCTGGTTATCAGATTTTTCTCCTTGGGTCACATTTCTAAGCTCTGTCACCCACAGGTCTACAGTTCGATTTTTCTTATTGCAGTTGATACACAGCTCTTTGTTTGCAGTAAGTTGTGCCACTCCATCCAGCGAGTTCCAGGTCTGGGTTCTTATGTTACATTTCCACCATGGTCTCTGCAGCCCCATTCCTGGCTCACCAGTCTCTACCTCCTGTGATACTGTGCTGAGGCTGCACAATTGTCTGTACAAACTTTATCCCATTTCCAGTTGGAGCAGTTCCCAGGATTGGGAGATGCCAGTTGTCCTATATAGCTAGGTGGTTGTTGGTACTGATCTGACCATAATCTTTTGGGTGTTAGGTCTGAGAGCCACATGAACCTATTTTGACCTGTATGATGCCAAAGTTGGTATTATTATCCCTGTGGGACTAGTGCAATGCACTGAGCTCAGTGAGTTCATTCCCAGCTCAGCACATGTACAACTCACTGTTGTCCCTGCAATCTTAGCGATTTTTCCATACTGTACAAAATTGTACCTGAAGTGCCACTACTAGAGTTCTTGATCTTCTGGCCGTCATGTCTGAGGGCTACCCAGACCTATCTTGGGTGAAACCTGTAGCATACCATATTGTTGCAGTTCACTGAGCCAGAAATGAATTCATGCTCAGCTCAGTGCATGCACAGTCCTGTCCCATGGCCTTTGCCTCCCTACACAAAATGGTGCCCAATTCGGCTCTAGGAGGTGTACTGGGTTGTGAATTCTACTCTGTTCCTATACCATCTTTCTGGGACCTGCCACTTTGACTCTGCTCCTGATCAAATCAAACAAACCAGCAGGATGGGAAGTTTTTTGTCTGGGTTCACCTCCTGAGCTCCTGTTGAATGTCCCTTCCCACCTTGTTGCTGGTGGAGTTCAAATTGTCATTCGCTTGATGCTGCTGGGGTATTAGTCACTGCAACACCACACCATTGTGTTTGTTGCTTTCCTGTGTCTGTTAGTCTTCAGGTACCCCTCTGATGTCATTCTGTCCTCTCCGAGTTCCTGGAATGTGTCCCCTCTTCTAATCACACTGGCTAATGTTTCTCAGTCTGTTTAAACGTGTCCTTAACCATACCACCACCCCAATTCTCCCATGTATTCTTTTCCCCTTTGCTTGTTTTCTTCTCCTTTCATCTTCTATCTATATTGCAATTTCCTCTCTTATTTTCTTTACTTTAAAGATTTATTTTTACTCAAAAGATATTTACAGAGAGAGAATGTCCACCTACTGGTTCAATCTAAAAATAGTTGCAAGAACAAGAGTTGAGTTGAGCTGAAGCTGGAAGCTAGGAGCTTCGTTTGGGTTTCCAACATTGGGTTTTGGGCACAACGCCTTGGGCCATCCTCTACCACTTTCACAGGCCATTAACAAAAAGTTAGATCAAAATGAAGAAGCTCAGACGGGAACCAGTGCCCAGAACGGATACTGGCATGGCAGGTGGACAATCACTGTGCTATACCAGAGTTTTCATAAATAAACTAACAATTTCTGTAGTTTGGTATGCTATCACCAAAATCATATACGCAATTCCATTGCATTGATGGTTTCATTTTATCCAAAAGTTAATTGAGTTGTTATCTTTATCCATGTACTTCCTTATGTCTGGAGTAGTTTGTAACACTTTTCACCAGGAAAATGTCATTATTCAACATACAGATTTTCTACTTTTCCTAAAAGAAAATCTTCTATTCATAGCACTAAAGGCAGTAACTGAGCAAGCCTTTGTAAACATACTTCTCTCTGATAGTGTTATTTTTCCACTTCTCATTCATTCCTTTCTAGAATCAGATCTTCAATAGTAGGTGGCAAGTCAGGTGTATCTTTCCTGACAAGCAAGTAGCATGATAGGAAACAATCCCTTACTGTTTGGGGGATTAGTAAAAGTGAATAAAATACATTTCTAAGATGAATCAATTGAATTATAATATGTTTCTTAAGAAGAGATGAAATTATATTTGTTCATATCCAGTTTAAAATAGTGTATGAGAGTTGGCATTGGAATCTGATGTCTTTGAAGAATTTTGTTTCCATAGAAATAAGAATCTAAGTTCCAAACAGCACACACACCAATGAACTTAGGAACGCAACAAGTTACCTCCAAGATCCATGGGCTCCACAGCAGGTGCTGAGACTGGGAGGCACCCCTAACCAGCAAGTGGCTAAGCCTCCCTTGGAGGTAAATAAACAACACACCAAGTCACCAGAAGCCACCAAATCATCATCAGAGACCAACCCAGTCAGTGAGTGAACCACCCAATGCTCTCTGCCCATCTGTCCCTGCTGGACCCATGACATGCTGGTCACTGTGTACTGCGTCCGGAGGGACCTCTCGGAGGTAACCTTCTCCCTCCAGGTCAGCCCTGACTTTGAGCTCCATGACTTCCGAGTCCTTTGTGAGACAGAATCCAGAATCCCTGCCGAGGAGATGCAGATCATTTACATGGAGAGACTCCTGGCTGATGACCACTGTTCCCTGGGCTCCTATGGCCTCAAAGATGGTGATGTCATCGTACTACTTCAGAAGGAGAATGTGGGACCCTGGCCTCCAGGACGGACTCTGAACCAGCCTCGAATGGACTTCAATGGGATTGCAGTGCCTGGGACATCGAATTCTCGGTGGCAGCAGCCACCACCATGGGGACCTTCTGCTCACCAGTCCCATGGCTTGGCCTCTGGAGAGAAGATGGTATCTGCTCAAGACCTGAACAACCCCGCCTTAGTCCGTAGCATGTTACTGTCCAATCCCCACGATCTGTCTCTGCTGAAGGAACGCAACCCTTCCTTGGCAGAAGCTCTGCTCAGTGGGAATCTTGAAACATTTTCTCAGGTCTTGATGGAGCAGCAGAGGGAAAGGGCCCAGAGAGAGCAAGAGAGGCTTCGCCTCTACACTGCTGACCCATTCGATAGGGAAGCTCAAGCCAGGATAGAAGAAGAGATCCGACAGCAGAACATTGAAGAAAACATGAATATAGCAATGGAGGAGGCCCCTGAGAGTTTTGGACAAGTGGCCATGCTCTACATAAACTGCAAAGTGAATGGACATCCTTTGAAGGCTTTTGTTGACTCAGGTGCCCAGATGACCATCATGAGCCAAGCTTGCGCAGAGAGATGTAACATAATAAGACTAGTAGATCGACGGTGGGCTGGAGTGGCAAAAGGAGTGGGCACACAAAGAATTATCGGCCGTGTTCATTTAGCGCAGATTCAAATCGAAGGAGACTTCTTGCAATGCTCTTTCTCTATTCTGGAGGAACAGCCCATGGATATGCTTCTTGGACTGGATATGCTCAAGAGGCATCAGTGTTCCATTGATTTAAAGAAAAATGTGCTGGTGATCGGCACCACTGGCACACAGACGCCCTTTCTTCCTGAGGGAGAGTTACCCCTCTGTGCTAAACTGGTAAGTGATACTGGGCAAGAAGAGTCTACAGAGAAGGAGGCAACAAACACCATTAAGCATTCATTCAAGGATTCAGGACGCAAAAAGCATTGAAGTGGGTTACAAGTGTGTCATCAACTTAAGGGTGCCTCAGGTCCTGAAAATTATAAGATATGAGTTCACAGGCAATCATTAAAAACATCAGTAACAACCAACCTGGGTAGATTAATCTCAGATGGGTATTCACACAGATGCTCACTTCTAGGTCCTGTCTTCACTTTCCATTTCTCTTATTCCAAGAGTAGTGAACCTCACTCTGGGAAGGCTCTTAAGGAAGCAGCAGGCTTCCTGGTAATCCCAGAAAAGGAAATCCAGCTTCTTCCTAGCAGACTGCAGGGTGGCTTGTTTCAACTAACGCATTATGCAGACATCCAGGGAAACACCCACTGCTGCAGAATTTATGAGGAATCAACATAAGTCTCACACCGCCACTCTTTACATATATAATGTGCAGAAACAGATGTCCATTCATGGTTTTCTTTGGGGAAGGCTTTAGAAATGATGGGTCAATGATACTCTTTTAAAACTGTATGTTGAAATATGTAAATGAGATGATACACAGTTGTCATTCAGCTCTCCAATCCATTCTGACATAGCTATAATCTCCTACTGTGTGTGGTGGGAAATGGGGCATCCTAAAATGGCACCTAGAGAAAAGGTGCCACACTACCTTTTGCCATCAGATGCAAGGGGAAAGACTTAAGGAGAAAGATTCATCGGACTGACATACTAGAAATGATAGTGGTTTCTAAGTCAAGAAGTTGAGGCCCTAGTCCTATATTACTAAGACAAGTCACTTCATCTATTTTCAGATTCATGTGCATTATCCACAGATCATTTAGGCTGGGTGAGCCACTTTCAAAGTGCCAAAACCATGTTATGACCCACTTTTTGTTCTTTTTGCTACAAACCACTTTTCCAAAGTCAACAGAAAAAAAGCATTCTTTCCTTCCAGGTGCCATCAGTTTACCTTCCGTTTTCTTCTGCCTTATAGGTGTATCCTTGGTCACATTCTCTAATCTGCTGGACTCAATGTTAAGATCCATTTATGCAAAATACAGACTTGCAAATAAACCATGGGAAAATGCAACACCAAATGATGTTCAATGTCAACAAAACTTTAATGTGTAGCCTATGAGGATAATTGATCCAATAATGACAGTCTAAAAATTACAGAATGGTTAAGGCAGAAGAAACTTCACATAATATCAAATGATCTTAGTGACCATATCTTCTCATTAGGAACCTGCCTTCTGGGATGGCCATAGTGGTTTTAAACAAATCTCAGGTGTTCTTTCTTACTTTAGGCTAAAATCTATTGTTCTTATTTTTTTTATAAATATTGTAATTTACAGGCTGCATTTTATTTTATTTTTGTTCAATTTATAAATTTGGCAGTTGAAACTATAATTCAATAACACTGCTATCTTTATCAGGTATGTAATTAATTGTCCTTGATGCCCAAAAGCCTACTTTTTCACTGCTTTTTAATGAAATGTTGCTTCACTTGTAAGCAATGCATTTTTAAAATTTGTTTATGTGAAAGACAAAATATCAAAGAAAAATCTTTCATTTGCTGGTTCACTTTCTTCCTTTTGAACTTTTTTACTTTTTCTTTTAAATTTTATGATACAACTCCCTAAACTTGGATATTTCCCTTACCTTTCTCAAAACTCCCTCCTCCCATGATTTCCTTTAACTTCCTATAATGTAGCCTTTTCTGTTGCTTTTGCTAACACCACAGTCATTCCTCCTGCTGGCAGGAAATCCTTTTAATACATGAAATCAATGTCAGACTTAATATTCCTTTTTGTAGGCTTTTTAAAAATTCTTTGTTTCCTGCAAAATAAGCTCAGAATCTATTTAAAACTTCTTTCATGATTTTTTGGACATAATCCAACTTACCAAAAATATTACTTGTGTGTATGGATGGGTAAATTAAAAGTGGCTTTATTGAACTGAAAAGGCATGACCTCAAAAAATCAATAAACAAAGTGAATTAAGTAATGTTTTTATTGATCAATCTCTAAAATTGTCCTTCAAATTGGAAAGAATTTTAAAATTATTTCCATGGATTTAAAAATTTTGATGTAGTCATATATGTGTGTGTAGGGGTGTGTGTGTGTGAGAGAGAGCTAATCAATTAAACTTTAAATGGATCATTTTTGGTAAAAGGCAACATCTTTTGTTTGTCTTCTATGCAACTCAGATATATAACGCACTTTACATGTATTATTGATATGTCTCCTCAGAATAAACCTAAAAATAATCATAATTACCCTCATTTCACAAATGCGTAATGAGATTTAGAAGTAGAAACATTAAAAGGTTCAAAGAATTTTTAAATACACTACATTTTACATTGGGATTCAGTTACAAAAACACACACATGCAATCATAAACAGATATGTAACAGGGGACTTCAGCTTATAGAAACTGCATATCAGGATGGAAACTACATAGGAATATCCAAAATTTTTGGCACAAGAATTGCATTAAATTGTTATCTGAACAGGACTTAGTTTGGGGCAGTAACACATGTAAGACATTAATTTGCTAACAAAAAAACAAAGATGGAGAAAACAAAAAACCCTTATCAGTTCAATACGAATTGTGCAAACAATGAAGTGAGAACAAATCCAACTTACAGTGAAGTTTGGGTATAAGAATCCCAAAAGTGCAAATATATGTGCTCTCTGATATAAGACAACACTCATACAAAATACAATATAGATACGCAGGTAAACAACTAAATATGTATATTCTCATAGATGAACTGTATAATGGAGATTAGCAGACCAGCAAGTGAAGATATATTGCAGTAGACATCTCTCCCCCAAATAAAAGGAGGATTCCCGAATATTTAAATATACCTCGGCAATTTGATTCTAGATTACCTACCATTGCCTATACCTACAATGCCAGGCTACACTTAAGTAGCAAAAGGTTAAACTTTTAACTACTACTAAAGGACAGTATTATTGTATTAAGATAGGGGAACTAGTGAAAGCAAAGAATGAGAAGGCAAAAATGGGGTAATCCTTATACCTACAAAGCTGTATCATGAAAAATAATTTTTATTACATAACATTACATATTTTTTACAACTGAAAAATGAATGGTAGATCTATTGATGCTTTATGAAAGGTTTACTGAGATGACACTGAAGAAATCAGCAGTTTGAAAATTAATAACCTGTTTTACAAAGGCGGGAGAGCATGTTCAATCAACTTGAGAGGAAGAAGTTCATATATTCATACCCTGAATAAGAATATGAATAATTATGAGATGAAACAACATTGAGCACCATATAGATATCTCAGTTCATTTTCTACAATTCTGACTGAAAGATTAAAGTGGGGCCAACTCTCTGTTTCACCTGTGCCAACACTGTTACAGAAACCCATAGAGCTTTCAACAGCAATTTAAGCAACAGGAGAAATATCACGAGGCACTTCTTCCAAGGTTCTAGGCTAGGACATGAGACACGACGTTACCAGCACAGTCCTTATGACAAAGCTCCATCAGGGAGGCTGCAGCGGTCTAGTCAAAGCCAGAGACTGGTCAACAGAAAAGGTGTGGACAACAGGCTTAGGGGAGCTGATGTTCCACAGACACAAAGAATGGTAACAGCATCTTACCAGCACAGTGCTTTGAGAAAGTTCACCAAAAGTTAACCAAAGCTCTAGGAAAAAAAGAAAAAGAAAAAAGAAACAGAGAGATACTGTCCATTTTTTCTCATCAAACAAAGGCAATTTTGTAGGAATTTTAATAGAAAATTACTAGCCGATCACATTAGAGTCCCAACTTAGTTCCTTCTGTTTCTTTTTCATTTCAAATCTTAAAAAGGTAGGGATGGGATGTAATTTTTTTTCTTCAGCTAATAATGGAAAAAAACCGAACAAACCTGATAAGTCAGTTATATGTTCTATTTCCAGTACTATCATTATTTTGAAGATAGGCTAAATATTTGATATTATCTATAAAAAGTGCTTAGAATTTAATGAAGCTTATGATATAGAATAAAATCTGTATTTCTTATGTTTATCAATTAATTCCAATTTCTATCAATTGTTTGAAGTCACTTTTTTTTGTTTGTTTGTTTGTTTGTTTTTACTTTTTTAATGGAAAGGCAAATTTAGAGAAGGAGAAACAGAGGGAAAAGCTTTTATCTACTGGTTCACTCCCAAAGTGGCCACAATGGCCAGAACCAAGCCAATCTGAAGTCAGGACCTGGGAGTTTCTTCTTGGTCTCCTACACAAGGCTTTGTGCTGTCCTATACTACTTTCCCAGGCCACAAGCAGGGAGCTGGGATGGAAGTAGAGCAGCCAGGACCTGAACTGGCACCCATAGGAGATCCTGCCACATGCAAAGCAAGGATTTAAGAACTAGACACCCTTCACTGAAGTCACCTTTCAAATAAACAATTTAAACAGAATTCTTCAAAATAGGATTAAAATATTTTAACCTTTCTTGATTGACTAGCTTTAAAATGCTGTTTTACAGCTTACATTCTCTATGGGCATGCATGTGGTGCTGCAGTTAAAAATGTTACATGTGACAACCACATGTTCTATCAGAGATCCTAGGTTTGAATCCCAGCCCTGCTCTGAACTGTAGCTTCCTGCTGAAGTATATTCTGACAAGTAGCAGGGTTAAGGTACAAAAAATCCGATCCCTGCCAGTCATAAAAAGAATGCAACGGTTTTCTCAGCTTTCGGTTTAGGTTGCCCTAGAATTGGTTACAGCATGTTGTTTGGAGATTGAGTTAGTGGTTGGAAGATCTCTATCTTTCTAATAGGAGGGTAAAGGTAAAACGTTTTAAACTGCAAAACTGTTTGTTTTGCCAAATTGTTCAATTTAAACACTTCTATTCAGATACCATTTTTTCCAGTATATAACTTAAAAAAAAAGCATCTTTAAAGAATCATTTAATGAAATGTAGAATTACTGAGAGATAAATAGGGAGAAATACGCAGAAAGTATCTCCACTCACTGGTTCACTTCTCAAATGGCTACAATTGCAGCTTGGTCTAGCTGAAATCAGGAGCCAGGAATCTCTTGCATGTCTCCCACATGTGTGGCAGAGGTCCAAATACTCATGGCCTCTTTCCTAGGCACACCAGCAGGGAGCAGCTAAGACCTGATGCTACA